GTATTAGATTTAACAAATGAGATATTCGTGTTGTGATGTTCATTAAATCTCCAGATCGATGCCACGCTTGATTAAATCTGTCAATATCGTCGTATGGCATCAACGATTTACTTGTAGATACGATCACTCATTCATCAGACGTTACGAAGATGAGATTGGCTTTGTTCATTACAAACGTTTTTATTGGACGGTCTGGTTGACAGTCCATGAGTCAACACACAGCATCGAACCTTCTTTTGTTTGTTAATCCTATCTCAAATTGAAATTGTGTTTATTTATCGATTCGACGTAAAAAAATATTTCTTAAACGATCATATCAATTAGTCGGATAGATGTGAATCGCCTTTTGTTAATGGAAACCTGTTAAACAGTCAGATCAGCTAATGACCTGTAGGAAGCTATAATATTATATTTTTTAATTTTATTTTATTCTTTTTTCATTGAATATTGCGATAAATTGCTTTAGATAAATCGATTATTTAATTCATTTGGCTGTCAGTGGCGTCAATCTTTAACGTTATCAAGGATATAATAATTATAACACGTTATGAAAAACTTGTCATAAAAAGGAGATGTTGTAACGTAGTGGAATTAAGTAGGTGATTCTTACACAAGGATTACAGTTACATCCTTTATTTCGTTGGATGACTGAATGGTTAGCACGAGCGCGTTGTATAGAAAGGTCTGCTATTGAGTCAATTGGCGTGGTTTCGATTCCCCGGTTGTATGTGACAAGGAGTAGGGTCGCATGTCCAACCTAGTGGGGTTTTTTTTGTCTGGGTCCTCCGGTTTCCTCCCACTGCTAAAGACGTCTACGCGCAAGCGCATTACTGAAATAAAATTCAACCATATGTTATTCCCAAAATGACCTAGTTTGTGTCGAGTGGATGTTAAACGTGCACTTTAGATCGTAAGGTATGTCATTGTGTCATTTATTGCTTATTTGATCCCAGGTATGTACGTGACAAGGAGCAGGGAGGGTTCTTTCCGCTGTTTTCTGACATGTTAGTCACGAAATAGTCTAACCTGTGTTAAGTAGACGTTAAACAACAACCTCTCTCTCTCTCTGGTGCTTAATTTTAAGTTGTGGTAGTTTTAGTGCAACAATATTAAGCTAATTATACATTTGTAAAATTTACATCCCTATCTTATTTCAGGATCACATAATCACGACGTCATACTATACATTGAGTATTTTTTTCCTCGTGTTATAAATATGGCAATAAACTTTATAGCGTTTTGACAACTGACTGAATAGTTTATTACTATAACTGTATGCTTTTAGCCACCACTTGTAGCTTGTTAAGAACTTAACCATGAACAGAGCTCGTCTTCATTAACTCAGTCGCAGCAGAACAGCGGGACTTCATTTCATAAACAGAGACAGTCTCTTCAATGACATTGTGTTCAATAGTTGCGTTATCATTTTTATTAAGGATTTGATCATAAACAGAACTAATCTATTGAATGTGCTTAATCTTAGGATTATTATTTTTATTGTGGTTTTAGTCATAAACAGGGCTCGTCTATTCAATGTGTTTAATCGTAGTGTCATTAGTATTCATATAGACTGAATCATATTCAGATCTCGGCTTTTTAATGTGTTAATCGTTGTGATGTTTTAATGAGTTATTAAGTAGTGATGAGAAAAAGGTGTATTTATAACATAGCCCTGATAAATTGACTAATTCTTTACCCGTTTAGGTTTGGTACAGCAGTTTACTCGATTTCTGAAAGGATTTTAAGGATGTCGTGATTAAGGTAAGAAACTTTTATATCTGTTACTTAACTCACCCCAAACCAGTGCAAACAATGAGACCGTATTGGTAGGGTGTGGGGGCGTGCGGTTGGGAAATTAGAGACGCTAAGAGTGGGTTATTGGTCGTGGTAATCGAGTAGTTGGCTTGGGAATAGGTCTGGGTAAGGTACGGGGGTGATCATGATAGTCGAGTAGTTGGGGTATTGGAGACGATAAGTGTGGGGTAAGGTGGTCCGGGGGTGATCCCTATAGTGGAGCGGTTGGGGTATTGGAGACGATAACTGTGGGGTAAGGTGGTGCGGGGGTGATCGTCAGGCCCGTAGCTAGCGGGGGAGAGGCAAGGGGTTGGGGGGGGGGGTATTTCCATTGGACGCTTTACGAAGCCAACGACCAACGTGTCCATATCAGTATGGGCGCCCCATAAAGCCGAGTGATATTGGCTGGGCGCCCACGACGAGATTGGTGGAGTGCCCAACCAATGTCATTTGGTTTGATGAACGCCTCGTCAATCATGTCATAATGAGCCCCCCCCCCCCCCAAATGTTGAAGCACCCCATAACGACAATATATGATTTTCGGGTCCCACATAATGCATAATGCCGAGTGAGATTGGTTGGGTGCCCACGACTTGATCAACGGGGGCGCCAAACCAAGAAACCGACCGCAAACCGACGCCCGAAGAAATCTACCATAAGAAAGCCAACTTTTCCAGGTCAAATTCACGATGGGGTGATAATCTTCAAAATTCAAACAAGTCGCACTCTAACCCAATTCCCAACTTTTTGTTTTTCTCCTAAAATATTATAGGTACGCCAAAGTCGTATTCCTTCCTTTAATTTTTTGTAATGTTCATATCAAAATATCATAATAAGCTAATATAGCAAATTCAGCCTCAGAATTGAAATTTTCTTGCATAGTCCCTCTCCTCTGGTGCAAACCCTATTTTCCAAAATTTTCTAGGGGAGAGCACCTTAGTCGCTTCCCCGAATGGAGGCGCGTCCACGGTACCGTTTGCCGTGGACCGTCAAGTGTAGGTACATCGCTGTAGGTACATTAGTTCTCAAATTACAGAATATTTTGAAAAATACAAATTATTTTATGAATTACGATCTGGTTTTATTAAAAATCATTCATATTCAACAGCCTTATTGAGATTTACAGATATCTGGCTGAAAGAAATAGACTCAAGTAATATCACCGCAGTTGTTTTGTTTATCTCGATCTTAGTAAGGCTTTTGATCTTATATACCATAAATTAATCCTCCAAAAATTAAAATTATACAAATTTGACTTGAAATCGCATAAACTAATTTCATCCTATCTGGAATTTCGAAAGCAACAATTAATCCTAGGGGCATGTCATTCAACTGTTACTGGTGTGAAATGTGGGGTCACACAGGGATCCTGCCTGGTTCATTGCTTTTCTTGATTTTAATAAACGATTTCCCACTTCATGTCAGTAAATGCCATACTGATCGTTTTGCTGATGACAGTACCCTTCATTTCTCTAGCAACACTCTAGCTAATATAGAGATTGCCCTTCAAGTGAGAGAGAGAGAGAAATGGGGTTTAACGTCCACTCGACACAAACTAGGTCATTTCGGGACTAACATATGGTTTTAATTTTATTTCAATAATTTGCTTGCGCCTACGGGTCTTCAGCAGTGGGAGGAAACCGGAGGACCCGGAGGTTCCGGAGAAAGCCCACGAGGTTGGACAGGCGACCCTACTCCTTGTCACGTACAACCGAGGATTCGAAACCACGCCAGTTGACTCAATGAGAGGCCTTATGATACAGCGCACGTGTGCTAACCATTCGGCTATTCCGCCCTTCAAGAGGATTTACTAAATGTATTTAATCGGCGTAATGATAATGGTATGGCAATGAATGCCACAAAGACCAAAGCCATGCTAATAGCTTCAAACCACCAAACAAACACTAGCAGCTTATCATTAAAAATTAAAAGTGTTATTAGGACTTAGTGTTGACCAAAATTTAGATTGGAATCTCCAAATTAACAAAATTTCCAAAATCATATCCTCCAAAATCTACCTCCTGACAAAGTTAAAACCTTATTTACCACACCATCTTAGAATTTTATTTTTCAACGGCTATATTTTACCATGCTTAGATTACTGTTCCACAGTTTGGGGTAATGCCAATAAAGATAAACTATAGGTCCTGTATAAACTTCAAAAGCGTGCAGCAAGGATCATTTTGGATGAAAAACCTGATTCACATTCGGCACCTTTGTTTGAATCTCTAAATTGGCTTACAATCTACCAACGCATTCAATACAACCAAGGAATGCTCACCTTCAAAATTCTAAGAGACAAATTATCATTATATTTATATAACACATTCTGTGAAAATTCTAAATTGACCGAAACTACCATGACATTGAGATCAGAAAGTCAACTTAGTAAGATAAAAAGCAATGACAAGAACATTCCAATATACCGCCCTTGAATTGTATTCTGGAATTCACTACCTCAAACTGTGAAACATGCGTCTTCATGTTTTATCTTCAAACAGGAGTTAGTAAGAGCATGTTAAATCTTTTAACCCTTGTTAATTACTGTTGTTCTTTGAATGTATGTTTATTTACCATTTTAGTCTTTCTTGTTTATTTGATATTTCTCCTTTATAAGCTTATATAATATGATATATATACACTTTGTAAATGGTGCCGGAGTGATCAGGGGTCGGATGTGACAGAGTGCACTGTATTGTTACTGTGTAGTTGCTAGTTTTATAGAGTAAGATGGACATGTTGAAAATTAGAACTCATGTACTAAATAGGTTCCCTCATTATTATTATTATTATAACCAAGTGGGAATTGGAGACGATAAGAATGGGGTGGAGTGGTAATCGTGGTATTCAAGTTGTTGTCTGGGAAATTGGAGACGATAAGGGTGTCGCGGTATTCAAGTGGTTGTCTGGGGAATGGAAGACTATAAGCGGGGAATCGAAACCACGCCACCTTACTCAGTGACAAATCTTATGATGCAACATCCACGCGTTACGCGTTAACGACCCCCCACCCCCCATTGAATATTAGAGAACATGAAGACTATCTGCCAAATTAAAAAGATCGGGTTCTCATGAGAGATTCTAGGGAATGTTTTTGTTTTAAGTAGGCTACGCCTTTTCCCAAATCCCATTCAGATAAACAAAATGGGAGATTCTAAAACTGTATACTGTACAACTGTACTCTCCTTTCAGGTAATAATTCAAAGATGTCACCGTTAGGTCGAGCAGAAACATCTGACTCGACTGAACCAAGCGTTGAACCTGAACCAGAGAGAGAACCAGAACCAGAAGTCGAACCGGAAGTTACAGTAGAACCAGAAGTAGAACCGGAAGTAGAATCCAGATATGTTGAACCCGAAGTAGAACCTGGATATGTTGAACCGGAAACAGTTGCCGAACTCTGGCCAGAACCAGGTCCCAATTGGACTGAATCTTACACAGAGTGGGGAGAAGCTTGGCCAATCCACGTTTACCTATTTGCCCTGGCTTATTTAGCTATCGCCTTATTTGGTATCTTTCTGATTATAACAATCGTGTTCAACAGATCGGGAACCCCCATCAACAAAACAACAATTGCATTAAACTCCATGATAACCTTCTTCGCCATTACCAGATCCGTGACACTTTTTCTCGATCCCTACTCCTCGGAACGCAGCGTTCCTTTTATGGTATCGCATGTGATTTGGTCAATAGGGATTCCCGGACTGACGTCATCGTTCAGCATTGTGTTGTTGATTCTACTGGACACGACGAAAATGGAAGTCGCTCCGCCACGTTTTCAGAAACTTTCAGTTATCGCCTTCATCACGGCCGTCCATATGTTAATAGTGATTTCATTCGACATTCTCGTGATGTTGTACGGGTCGACAGTTAAAGTATTGTTGATTATTTGTCAGTTATTGTTTGTGACGTATGGTCTGGTGGTGTCAGTGGGATTTCTTTATGTTGGTGTGAAAATCAGGAAGAATTTATCGGCGTCCACCAGTAGTTCAAAAGGTGAGGATTAATTTAATGTTGTTAAAGGAGACCCCAGGTCCGATCCCAGTGTTGGGCGAGAAAGTTCTTTGGGATTTTTCCGGCGTGGTTTCCCATTTGGCAGTGCTGCAGGACGGAGGGAGGGCCCGGTAACGAACACGTAACGATCCCTTGAGATTTACAATTCGAAATAAGGAAAGGCCATAGTTCCGCTGTCTTGGGAAAATGGCATCCATAGCATATTAAATGGCGTAAGCCTGTCTCTATATAATATTCTGATGGTACTGGTAAGCTAACCCAGAAGGTCCCGGGTTTAATCTCGGCCAGAAAGTCGGTGTTGGTACTGGATGGAGGTCTGGTAAGTAATAACGTCTAGCCATACCGATCGGACGAAAAAAAACAAGGTCCCGTGTACAAGTAAAAGGGTCCTTGATATTTGGAAATCGAAAAAAGAGTGGGTAATAGCGCCGCTGTCCCAGTAATGGCAAAATCCCCCCTCCCCCGATTATTTTGCCGGTTGGTAAAGAAAAGCAAACTGTTAAATCCCATTTCTCTGTCTCTCTCTCTCTCTCTATCTCTCTCTCTCTCTGGATTCCCACTGTGACATTACACACCCATCAGTAAAACGTCATTGTATACTTATCGCGATTGAGATCGACAAATCGTTCTAGTTCACCGAGACCGAACACTAAGCTGCAAATAACAAATTTCTTGTTTATTCATAACTCCAAATGTTATATATTTAGTACGTGTATCGGTTCTATCATGGACCGGAAGTAGAAACATGACAGCGTTGTCAGGGAATCTAAACTCATGTTGTTCTTCCTGGCGCGTGATTAATTCATTTCCGTATAATTCCCACCGTTTTACAGTTCTGTATCAACAAAGAATCCGTCGACGTGTAACACTTTGGTCCTTAAGACAATATTGGGTCTTTGAAAAATTGTTGCTTCACTCTTTCTAGAGTCAAATCACACGTACTTAATGAACATGAATGATATGATATTAATATATAAAAAACAGTGATATTTTGGTAAAATCCTAATCATTGTCAAAATAGCCATCAAATTTTATATGTTTATTGACCTATGGTTGGTAGACCAAATAAGGTTATAAAGGAGAGTGTTTAGCGAGACTGGTCAGAGCTCACCCAGGTATTCCGAGCAGCTATTATTTATTGAGAACGAGGAATCTTCGAAGCCATTCTAGCTTAACAATAAAGTTGTAAGAACCATTTAACCTGTAGTGTTATATATTACGATCACGAAGAACATAAATACAACATGAAAGTCCGATAGCACTACATAGGTCCAAACGTTATGGTGAATATTAGGTCATACAGACGCTTATATATTTCAACTATATAGTTTAAAATCGCCGGGAATTTACGACAACAGGATAGAGTTGCGTCCCCCCTTGTCAGTGCTGCAGGACGGAGGGCCTGGCAAGGACAGCTGTCTAGTCGTTCGGATAGGACGAAAAACCGAGGTCCCGTGTACAAATTGGCGTGCACGTAAAAGATCCCTTGACGGATGGAATTCGATATAAGACTAGGTCGTAGTGCCGCTGTCCGGGCCAGGCCAAATTTCCCTCATAGCCCAGTTCGGAGCAGAACAGTAGGACGTTAAACCCCATTTCATTTCATTTTGAAGTATGAAGTAGGCGGAGTTCTGTGCAGAATGCAAAGCAAGCTATCTGCGCTTTTTAAGCAGACCTATTAAGACGGCCAACAAAAGTCAGGGTTTAAAACAGTAATAAGCCAGGCCGCCAGTGTGCCGGGGGGGGGGGTGCCCAGACAGCGATGTGTGTTCAAAATTTCAAAACTCATCGTCTACGTAAACAAAGTCGGATCCGAATGGGATTCAATTTTTCACCAACAATATTTCAGTTCCTTCAATCCCGCAAATAACTATCAGAGACTTGAAGTTTTCCTGGAGCCGCGGTGGGTAAGACTGGCTCGCTAATCTGGATGACCCGTGTTCGATCCCTGCAATGACCTGAGAAAGTTCATCGAGATTTTCTGGCGTGGTTCCCCTTTGTCAGTAGTGTAGGGAGGAGGGACTGGCAAGGGACAAAGTATAGTCGTTCGGATGAGACGAAAAACCGAGGTCCAGTGTACACATTCGCGGACACGAAATAAGAGTAGGATTTTGCCATAATCTACTTTAAAAATTAGTCTCGATTGCCAAGTACCTTTGCGACGCTAATAAACATGGTATACATGGTATTTCTAGTCAAAACTTCAAACAATGGTAATTTGTCTACGATATCACCCTTGGTGGAAGTGGACGTAAAATTCCAGGAACGAACGAACGAGCAATAATAAATTAACACAGAATAAAGTAATTTCTAATGAAATTTTCATTATATTTATTTTCATTATCTATATTTAAACTAATATAGCAAGAACAACCAGCTCTTTGTTTAAATCTTGCATGATGCATCTTTAATTAAGTTTAAATATTTGATTTCGCGATTCTGATTAATCGCACGAGCATTAACTACATCTTTCCCTCGGGACAAATAATTTAATAGAGAATTTAACAATGGAGACCAGCGCTTCATACATCGATTAAAAAAAGAAAACAGTGAAGGCCAATTTATTAAAAAGCTACGCCAGATATAGTGGAAAGCTTGCTTAAAGATGCAATATGTAAAAGCTAGCTCTGCCTACTCATCTTTTGTTTGGCCTCAAATGTTATATAAATCATTAATTAGACATTTATTCACATGTCAATCCCATAACCACCTGTCCAGGTCATCGGATGGTTTTGATTTTCAATGGATTTAAACGTGGATACACTGTTCTTTAAAAATACATTATGGGAGATTAGATAAAGGGCTTGTAGCTCTCATTATAATAGTTAAAAAGCTAGATAATGTACAGTGGATATGCTGGAAATATCAGTCAAATTGATCCACTCTCAACCCAGAATTTGGCGATTGAATTTTCGGCCTAGCCCCGATCATCATTACTAAAGTCGGTACGATAAAAAAACAGTCTCGATTATCCATTTCATGATTAAATCATGTATGAAAGTTGAGCAGCAAATCGGATCCTAATCCAGTAAATATCGCAGGCTAGCTATGACATCGGGAGTTGATTATGGCCTGGATAAGTTAATTAATGTCTAATTAATAATTTAGATAACATTTCAGGCCTAAAGAAAGACCTGTAATAGACAGATATAGGTCTTGCATAATGTATGTTTAAGCGGCCATCAATCAGCTCAGAATGAAGTAAATTGTCAACATATTGTAGCGAGAACCGTCAGCCCTTTATTAAAGTCTTGCATACGGCATCTTTAAATACCGATAGATATTAAAATCTAATATCAATCATTCCATTTATTTGTTATGTAAACAATTTGATTCCTAGTATTAAAAAGACGTCATGCTTTGTTGATTTTCATATTTTATTTATTATGATATCACGAGATATTAAAATGTTTTCCACAACCCAGAAACTACCAATCTGATTAAAACACAGATCCTATTTCGTTCGTTTTTTATAGTTCTAAACGAAACGAAATATAGATCTGAATTTTATAATTAATCAGATTGAGAAACTACAGTACAAAATAACACACTGTTGGTGACATTTGGAGAGAGTTTAAAGTCCAATTATTACCAGCCAGATCATTTGGGAACAGCGCACGCTTATAGTCATTATACTAAACGTAGACTGTTTGTTTACAGTTAGCTCGGCTTGAGAACAGACACTAAACTAGTTGACCGACATTTTAATTCCTATATCGACAATTTTAGTTGAAAACACTAAGTATACATCGAGAATTTCATTAAGTAGTTATTCTGCTTCCATTTAATAAAATTGAAAAAGTTTATTTAGTTTTTAAGTGTATGACAAATGTGAAAGAGAGTAGAACCGCATTACAAAACAGTATATCTATAGTAATTTTTAGATATGGCGGCCATTTAGGGCAGAGATCTATTCTCGAAATATGAAGTAGATGGATCACTGTGTGCAAAATGGCTTATAGTAGACATTTTATTCACAGTCTTTCGCTAGTGCAAGCCGGCGTGCTGATTTTAGGTGTGGGTGTTCTTAGTCCTTGACATGCAAACCACTTGACATAACGATAGATCTAAGGACAACTCGTTACATCATTGGGTGCCGGGTGGGAGATTAACGCGTGCGCACTTCAGATTACACGGTGTGTCCTTGAGTCCAGTAATGAGGTTTCGACCGCACACTTGTATCTGACAAGGAGTAGCGTCGCCTGTTTCCCCCTCACTGCCAAAAGATCCCCCACGCGCAAGGCTATTATTGAAATAATTTGAACCATGTTAGTCCCGAAATGACCACGTTTGCGTCGAGGGGACATTAAAAACTCCTCTCTCTAACCCATTGAGAAGGGTTAATTCTGATTAATTATTGAAAAAAAAATTGAACCTTACGTTAGTCCCGAAATGATCTAGTTTGTGTAAGGTGGACGCTTACCCCCCTCCACTCTCTCTCTCTCTCTCTCTCTCTCTCTCTCTCTCTCTGATGTTTGCTGTACGGAGATTCCTTCAACATGTCTTTCAGGTATGACCTGTTTAGGCTTCTCATTACTCTCCCTCTCTCTCTCTCTTTCTCTCTTTCCAATGAAGCATGCCGTATGTGTTTGTATCTTCTATTGTGTCTCATGTCATCTGATATAAGATATAAAAAACAAAACATGAAATATACATATGACTGTTCTTGTCACGCAATGACATCCATTGAAAACATTTAAATAACGTTTGAATTGGTTTGTATTTTAATTCAACCAGAACTTCCATAATCACAAAACATGTCTATGTGACGTCATTCAAGGCGACAACAATTCGAGTTGTGCTAGGAGAATCTAGAGGATTGTCTACAATTAGTTTCGCTCGAGAACAGACAAGAAGCCAATTGACCGACATTTTAATTCCTAAATTGATGATTTTAGTCGGAACATTTCGAGAAGTATTCTTTCTGCTTCCATTTAATGAAATTGAAAATTTAGTTTTTGTGTTAAAAAATGTAGCACGGTTTAGAAATGTACACAAATTAGTGTGCTAATTCTGTAATATGAGTCAAGTGGCGTGGTTTCGAGTCCCTGCTTGTACGTGACCAAGTGTAGGGTCGTCTGTCCAACCTCTTGGGGGTTTCTCCGGGACCTCCGCCCCTCCCCTCTCCACTTATGATCCCTACGCACAAGCGAATTATAGAAATAAAATTAAACCATATGTTAGTTCCGAATTGACCTAGTTTGTGTCGAGTGGAAGTTAGGCCTACCCCTCCCCCTCTCTCGTCCTCTATGTCCTTACGGAATATAGCGTAGGCTTAGTTGTCGTGGTCATGTATCGCTGTCCTAATCCTATGCATGTACGTGAGGAGCAGGGAGGGTCGTTTCGGTTGTCCTCTGACATATTATTTTAGTCCCGAAATCATCTAGTCTTTGATGAGTGGACGTTAAACACTCTTTCCTTAAAGACATAAAAATTACCCCCCCCCCTCTCTCTCTCTCTCTCTCTCTCTCTCTCTCAGTATAGGGTGGTAGTCGTGGTGTTATAAAAAAAATAAACACAAAAACATTTTCTTGACGATTTTGTTGGCACTTTCCATGATGTTCGGGGGGGCTGGATGGCTGAATGGCTAGCACGTGCGTGTTGTATCATAAAGTCTGTCATTGAGTCAACTGGCATGGTTTCGATTCCCCGGTTGTACGTGACAAGGAGTAGGGTCGCCTGTCCAACCTCTTGGGTTTTCTCCGGGTCCTCCAGTTTCCTCACACTGCTAAAGACCCCTACGCGCAAGCGAATTATGGAAATAAAATTGAACCACATGTTAGTCCCGAAATGACCTAGTTTGTGTCGAGTGGATGTTAAACTCTCTCTCTCTCTCTCTCTCTCTCTCTCTATGATGTTCAAGGCGTCACCCAGGGACCGAGAACTAGCAATTAGCATTAGAGGGACGTGTGGATATGCTATTAACGGTGTATTCACGAAACTGAAGATAAGCAAATTTCATGGCATTTTTGTACCACTTAATTTTGAAGGAGCTTTGGGAAGAAACCGGAGGATCCGAATAAAATCCACGAGGTTAGGCAGACGACCCTACTCATTGTCACGTACAAACTGGAAATCCACCATCCGACCACCCAACTTCCAACCGTTTACACTTGGTCGCAATAAGCGTGTCGTTCTCAGCACGGTACCAGGCCACGATAAATTTCAAGAAACTGACCCGTTTACATTATTTTAAAATAACTGGTCTCGGAACCGTGCCAGACACGCCAAATGTGGAACTCTTCACAGTAAAGTTAATATCAGTCTTTATGCAAATTACCCGGATGAAAACAATTATGGCGGTTGATTTAGTACAGGCAGCCCTTTTGACAGAACTGTCAAAGTTCGCGGGGAAAAAGATCAAAGATCATTTGCCGCATGCGTAGTAATCCGTACAACTGATACCCGTTCTCAGACCGGGTGGCGTTTACACTACGAAACTTTAGCCGTGCTGTGCCGAGACCACCACACTTCAGTGGGCCAAATTGGCACGGTACTCAGTACGACACACTTATGTTTGACCCGTTTACACTACAAAAAAAAATAATAACCGTGTTGTGCCTGGCACGCTTCAAATTTGTAATTATTATACAGTTTACTCACCGTCTGGAACAGTTATGTTTACCTTGGCCTAAGTTATAATAATAAAAAACAAAACAAAACATTTCGTCATTTTTAATGTTCAAGACATAATTAAAGGAATATTTCCCTTTTATGAAGGTAATCAATGTTTAACTGTGGGTGTTGTTTTCAATATATGATATAACAGGGATTTCTTTCTTTTACTTGATTCGTTCGTTTCTAGAGTTTTACTAGAGTTTTACGTCCACTTCCACCTAAGGAGATGATATCGTAGACAATTTTTACTTTTACTTGATTTTGTAAACCGTTCAAATATATCAACGTTACTATAATTATGGTGGAGTTCAAATTTCGTGAAAATCGGACCGAGACTGTATTACAAAATGGTCGCTCCCATTTACATACAAATTATATAATAAGCATGTAATACCATGGTTGAGCACCATCCATGTTTATACGTTTATACCCCGAAGATCTCGGTTCCTTTCGATATTGATGCGTGTCGGACTGTAACATGCTGGATTATGACCCCAGATTGTACGAAAAGTCGCTTTTTTAGCTTGTTTTCTGTCCATCGCTTGCAAAATGTGGGTGTATCTTACATGGCAATTGTTTGTTTTATTATTATTTTGTCGTTTGTCAATGAGCCATTACTAATTATTTCCGCATTGTCTTATATAAAATGTTTTTCTTTATTCAGTATAAATGACGTCCGAAACCATAGAATACACTACTCGTGTACTGATTATAAAATGTTCATTTTGTCTTAAATATTGGATGTTAGGATCCTATATTTTCACAGCAAGATAACAATATCAGTATGACAGTATTAATCAAAATGGGCCAATATTGAATTCAAATTTGTGTTTTTAATTTTAGCTCCTTTAAATATTATTTTTATTTTTCCAGATCCAACATCGAAGCGGCTACAGCGCTTAACAAAATCCATTTTCATCTCGTCCGCCGTGGCTTTATCAATCGCTGTCACAAATCTATACGCAGCAGTGGATATTTTTGGCGTGTTCAGTCCTATCATGGTCGTCGATTCCTGGTCATGGTGGATTCTACAGACTTGTTTAAGGGTTGAAGAGACAATGGCGTCAATCTTAGTCCTGTCCGTCTTCATCAAAGTTTCCCCGACAGAAACTCTCAGAGGTTTTGTGTATAAAATGTGTTGTACTCTATCTCGACCTAACTCTATCGCCCCGTCAACACGTGAAACATTGTTTTGCACACAGTCGGAAGAAATAAGTAAAACTGTTGGATGGACGAATGGATGAATAAAGTAGGAGGAATGGTGGAGATGATATCTGTACTCATAGACATCAGCGCAGTTGTTTCAAAAACTTAATTTTAAGACCTGCAATAGACGGATTCTCCTCTTATACAATGCGCGCGGGAGGGGTCGGGGTCCTAGTGATTATTAGAAGCCAAACCTGCAATGACAGATGTTATGGTATAAAGCACAGGTGTTACAGATGCATTATGTAAGAACTAAATCTGCCCATGGCGGTCCTTTATTTTTTTAGCTTCAAATGTTATATAAACTGTTATTTAAATATTTATTAATATGATAAATCAACTTTTTAGGACATCAGACGTCTCTGGCTTTAGGTAGAGTAGAACACTTCGGCCATATAATTATTTAATTTAAATAAGGAGAAGCGAGGCTAAATCTTTGAATGAACTTTTCAATATACTCATTTTGCATTATCTATTTATAAACTATTATAACGAGAACGTCCAGCTCTTTATCTAAATCTTACATAATGTATCTTTAATATAACTATTATAGCAAAAACGACCAACTCTTTATCTAAATCTAACATAGTGTATCTTTAATATAACTATTATAGCAAGAACCACCAGCTCTTTATATAAATCTTACATAATGTATCTTTAATATAACTTATATAACAAGAACGACCAACTCTTTATCTAAATCTAACATAGTGTATCTTTAATATAACTATTATGGGTCATTCCATGTCAAGTGCACCAAATTCTCAGAAAGTTGTAAAATGACCCCCTCAGAAAATGCATCTTTAAACCATTCGGTCCCGCCCCTCTCTCTTCTTGAACATCTGGTACATTAGGGATAAAATTATCAATTTCTTTAAAACAGTTTTGTTTGTGTATGCATATCATTTTGGATTTCAGTTTGATTGATATCAGATTTAGATAAATTATGTTCAATCTCCAAACAAAATAATCGTTTTTAGCTGTATTTATCAATATTTCATCTAAAAATAATGCCCCAAACTCATATATAATTTATATGCATATGCTATAAACAAATACACCGTTGATGGTCAATACCCTAAACAAATATACACTGTCAAACATTTGATCATTCGGCACACACGGAACTGTCTACTTCGAGAATAGATCTCTGCCCTAAATGTCCGCTATCACACTGATCAGCAGTAAATTTTCGCTAGGCCGCTACAATCACTGATAAGGATGACATCGATGCGACTTAATGAGTCCCAAATTTTAACTTTTTTCTTCCGTCAAATTAAATTCTAAAACATTTTTGTCATTTATTAGAAAAATAAATAAAGACGTTTGAATTGTTTGTAGGTAAAAATCATTTCCTATTTAGTGTAAATGGGCTTTAAAATAAGTAAAATTCACCATTTAGCCCGAATCACTAACGTCTTACGTAAACAATGCACGCACTATTGAGCCAATGATTGACGTCACGTGTCGAAACAGTCATATGTAACAGAGATATTAAAAGATCTCCGTGAAACAGATTGGGCCGCCACATCCAACAATTAGTATGCATGTACTTTTTTGTAATGCGGCCCTACTCCGGTTCACATCTGGGATACGCAAAAAGACTAATTAAACCGTTCCAATTTTATCAAATGAAAGCAGAATATATACGTCTCAAAGTGCTAGAAATATACTTACTATAATCAACTCTCTTTTTTACATCGGATGGTCGATATTTATGGATATTAATGGATTTAAACATCTGCGAAATTTAAAAATGTAACGCTATAAAGGACAATCGAGGCTAAGTCTCGGTTGTCAAGTACCGTCATTATAATAATGAACGATTTCTGCTACATCTTCAATCTGTCATAACTTCGCTCAGAATAAAGTAATTTGAATGAAATTACCAATATATTCAGTTTATATACAGTCATATTACATTATTATGTCTTACGACCATTTATGTCAGTTTCTAGGTCTCAAATATTAGTGATATCGCCCCTTTAATGTTTAGAATAATGAAATTTAGTATTTGTTATTGTTGTATTATTATAGAAAAAATAATATTATTTGTTGTTTAAAAATCTGTTTTTGTTTTAATCCTGCTCGGAGGAAGATTATTACATTAAACCTGGGGTGGTGGGGGGGGGGTCGGTGAGTAAGACGCTATTTCAGTGAGTTAGACCGTGGCTCGCTAACCTGAAGGTCTCGGGTTCGCTCCGGGTGTTGGCAGAGAAACTTCATCTGGATTTTCCGGCGCGGTAGTAAGGCACTGACTCGCTAACCTGGAGGTCTCGGACTCGCTAACTCGTCGGTCTCGGACTCGCTAACCCGTCGGTCTCGGACTCGCTAACCCGAAGGTATCGTACTCGCTAACCTGAAGGTCTCGGGCTCGCTAACCTGAAGGTCTCGGGCTCGCTAACTTGAAGGTCTCGGACTCGCTAACCTGGAGGTCTCGGGCTCGCTAACCTGGAGGTCTCGGACTCGCTCCAGGTGTTGGCCGAGAAAATTCATCGGTATTGCCTGATGTGATTTTTACTTGTAAGGATGAAAAAACTGGTAAAAACAGCGCCTTGTCCTTCGGATGGGACGAAAAAACAAGGTCCCGTGTACACATTGGAGTGCACGTAGAAGACCCCTTGACCGTTGGTATTCATAATCCCAGTGGGTGCAGAACAGGAGGACCTTAAACCCCATTTCACTGTTTGCTTTCATTTTGTCCACGGGACGGTAAACCCCACGTCAACCCCAAACTATGTCAGAAGATACGTCCAAGGTGAGATTAGGAATTAAAGGGAAGCAACTGCTGTATTCTTGGGAAAACCCTCGCTTAGTATATTAGAGGTCTATCCATTAATGTGAACTGGACCAACAATTCATGTCGTATTTAAAGATGTATTATGTAAGATTTGAGAAAAAGCCGACAGTTCTCGCTATAATGGTTAAAAAAATAGATAATGAAAAAGGAATATGTTGAAAATTTCAGTCAAATTACTTCATTATGAGCTGAATTATCGTCGTTTGTTATTGCTACAGAGATGGGGTTTAACATCCACTCAACACAAATTGACAGATGGTGTCCTGTTGATCATAGGGGTCCGTACGCCTGTAACCTTGCAGCCCCTCCTGATCATATAGGGGCCAGTGAGCCAGGTCGGCTTTGCGGGCAGAAGTGGAAGTGCCCGAAAAAATTTCACTTGCGAGTGGGGAAGCCAGGCCCCAGCGAGCGGGGGTGGCACGCAGTATGGTGTCGTGAGGTATTGGGGCGGGCCTTCCTTAGAAAATTTTAAAAATGGGACGGCCGCCAAAGCGCTTTTCTGCAATTCCGGCCCGTGAATAAAGCTAAAGCAAAAAGCTAGTAGTCCAATATAGCCTTATTTATGTGGCTTTGGAACCGAAATCCCATCTAAATTCCAGATGTTGTGGGTGGAGGGAACAGAAATGGAATGTTTGAGAAAAAATGTTTAGATTCCTTGGCTGGGATTCGCGCGTCAATGATGCAAATTTGAAGGCCACAAACGCGTTTCCTGCTATTTCGGCACGTGAGTATACAACAACAAGATATTGAGTTATTCTGTGCCCACCTAAATTCCACATGGTGTTGGAGAGGGATAAAATGAAATGGCCGAAAAAATTCCCGCGCAGAATCCTCCCAGGAAATGAGGGTGGGGGCCGAATGGTTAGAGCGTGCGCGTTGCATCATAAGGTCTGTCTTTGAGTCAACTGGCGTGGTTTCGAGTCCCCGGTTGTATGTAACAAGAAGTAAGGTCACCTGTCCAACCTCGTGGGTTTTCTCCGGGTCCTCCCACTGCTAATTAGCCCTACGCGCAAGCGAATTATTGAAATAAAATTGAACAAAATTGTTAGTTCCGAAATGACCTAGTTTGTGTCGAGAGGACGTTAAACCCCATTCCCCCTCTCTCTCCCCCAGGAAATTTATGAAAATGACGGCCGCAAACGCGTTTTTCTGCTATTTCAGACCGTGAATACAGCAACCTGAAAATGGTTTAATAATAGCCTATCATTCTGAACATCAGAGACACGCTGCTTAGCTGCGCTAGCTACCATTTTCGAACGTTAATTTCGTCAATCATTGAGACTGATGACCTTTTTAGTCACAATACCAGAAATTTCACATATGAAATAGTTGATTATGCCCGAAAAACATGTACGTCGTGCTTAGAGCTCAGTGGCTAATTTTAAAATGTTTTATCCATTGGTCAATTTAAAGAAAATTTCGATTCCCGAAAAATCTATATCAAAATAATGATCGATGCCCGAAAACTGTCGCACAGTGCAGAGTGGCTTCAGACTAAAAAGTCACAAGATTTCGGGCACTTTATATTTCCCCCCAAAATATATTCATTTTTGCCCACTTTACCCGTCTGCTCGAAAAATCCGTTCTAATTGACTGGCCCCTGTACGTGTCCTCGATATCACCATCGGTGGAAGCGGACGTTAACCCTTAAGCTAGCATAGTAAGTAAATATATAATGTTGTTATTTATCATTTGTCAGGGCCGTCGTAACCGAGGAAATGGAGTTGTAGGGCCTATTTGGACCCCTTACAGCGCCCCACCCCCTCCCCGGCCCTGGATAGCTCCCATCATATAAATTTCGCTCCGCGGACGTGTTTTCCATACACATTTGTTACTGTACTTGCTTGAAAACGTCGAGAATATGTTTTTCTAATCTTCGTCAAAATAAAAAAGTAATTGTTTTTCTAGCACGTAATAATCTCCCGCCAAAAATCCGTCATTCGTAGGATACAGACGTCAAAGAGATTAACCCCTACTATTTTTAATGGACGAGTCCATCATCTGTTGATATCACGTGGCTCGTCTGACCTATTTAGATAGGACAGGGGGTGTTAGGTCTGTTTTGTTATTTACATGAATTTTGTCAGTGTGGTCTGCCTATAAAACAGGTCAGTAGACTTTTAATCATGTTTTAACAGGTTGCTAGAATTTAATAACAATAATACAAACACAATCAATATGGCTTCTTGTTCGTCGACATTAAATCTGTGACTATAGTTGATTTTATCGTGGAGAAAGAAACAGAACATGCAATGCAATGTAAGTTTTCGCTATTTGCAATATTTACATTAACAGCACGACTTAGGCTACATACAAGAAAAAACACTTTGGTCTTAACCGACTTTTATCTAAATACTTACTAGCTAGGATGTCGCGCTTTCCTATGGGGGAATTTTGCCCTGATAGCGTTGCTATGTACATGCATACGGAATACTTTTATTTTGATTTTTTTAACATCGGATGTTACACATGTAGCCTATAAAACTTAATAACTAAAAAAGAAGTGAAATGATGTGTTCTGATCAGAGTCATTCACAGTTGCTAGTAGTAGTATATGGGGAATTTTGCCCTGACAGTGATAATGTTGTGTTAGAAATGTAAGAAGTTCCATGTGGACACAGTACGGGGCGGGCTAAAAGTGAAGGAAATAGAAAAGGGAGTCGGATCAAACAAGATCGCTGCGGAGTGTTGTTGTACATACAGAATACTTTTATTTTGAATTTACCCATGTATACGCAACTAAAACCGTTCTGATCGAGCGCGTT